GACCCAGTTTTCCTGCCTGCTCGAAATTCAAACAGGGTCCTCCTGGAGTCTCTTTGTTCATGTGCTTCTGAATTCTTCCTCCTTAGAAGCAAGCTTCTAGTCAAGAAAACAGAGACCCCCAGCGAGCACTAACTCTGATAACGTTATATCTCCTGGTCCCGACTCTTCTACTCATTTACTCACACACCACCCACACTATCAACCCCATTCATGCAATTGTTGTTTTTTTTTTTTGGTGGCTGGCCAGTCAGGGATTACTGTTCTGCATGCTTGACCCTGGTGTTACCAACACCATCCTCTAACCAACTGAGCCAACTGGCCAGCCTCATGCATCTTTTAAAAATTATTTTCTGGGCCGGCCTGGTGGCGCACTCGGTAGAGTGCGGCGCTTGGGAGTGCGGCAGCGCTCCCGCCGAGGGTTCGGATCCCATATAGAGACCGGTCCGCTCACTGGTTGAGCGTGGTGCAGGCACAACACTGAGGGTTGTGATCCTGTTACCGGTCACAAAAAAAGACAAAAAGGAAAAAAAAATTATTTTCTGCCTCCTCTCTAAGTTATATTGGACTCCAATCACTTTTGAAATGTACTTAGCTTCACCCTAATCTATGTTGGAAGAATAGTTTCGTTTTAATGCAGCTATGTGCCGCCATGGGATTTTTACAACAGATATTATGAGTGTACTGGGGGCAGCTGGGAGGGCAAGTGTGCAATCTGATGATTAGAGACAATTACCTTTGACCCACATTAACTGTTGCAGCATTTTCCCCTTCCTATTTAGCCTAAATGTACAATTTTATGCAAATTTTATAAAATATTTTGCAGAATCCCCAGAACCCCAACTCAATATTAGCCGAGAGCAAACTCAACTGATGCTGTTCTGGGAAGAATTGTGGTTTGGAAATATTACTCACCTAGCTCCAAAAAAGGTAACAGCCACGAGTACTGGGTGGCCACTGCTGCTGTTTACCTAACAAATGCATAGCATTTACAAAGGGCTTTCACACATGCTGTCTATTTAATGTTCACCGTAACAACCATCTTATAGCTATTATCCCATTCTACAGATGGTTAAAACTAAAGCATAGAATAGTTAAGTGCACTGCCTTAGGTCACAGACCTGCGATTTATAGACCTGGAATCCCAGGGTCTTTCAATTCCTCCAGGCATTCGCACATTCATAAGTTCACACTTCTGAAGAGCACTAGGCACAGGACAGGGTCCCTTCAGCCAGCACTGTTTCCTTCACTCCTTTCTCAGGAATGCTAACTGCTCTTCTCAAGAAAGGTTTTGTTTATTTTATATCCCATACAACTTATCAAATGCATTGTTACCAACATTTCACTTAAGCTCTTTTTTTTCCAGAACATACTTCCTAATCTAATTCCTTTTATTTTAGCAATAGAAAATAGACTAAAATGACAGACTTTGAGACATACATAGTAGAAAGGCTTTGGTTGTTTTGTTTATTTTTATCTCGTGTAAACATCTGGAGCATAACTAAAAATAAAAATGCATGTGAGATGGTCAATGGTTCATAACTAGTTTTATGACTGAAACTAGAATGTAAAGGTCATATGATGTCAGAACCTTGGGTGTTTGCATAACAGGAACATCACCAATAAACTGAGCCTGTAATTCTGTTTCATCACTTACCACCTCCATAGCGCTAAACCAGATAATTGAGATATCTGGTTGCTATAGAGATGGATGGCGTAACCTGACCACCTTCGTGTAGAAGGTGTGTATAGCTTCAGACGATCTTAAGCCTTTTGCACAGGGCCATGGGTGCACCTGGCAAAATGAAGGCATTTACTTCCCTTCGGGAATTGTTGGTGTTCTTATTGCTGTGGTTTAAAGGTGGGAGGCAGGAGCATGTTAATGAAAAAGACAAGTTGAGGGGGTAGGGAGGCCTCAGGAAGACTCCAGGAAGAGCAGAATCGCAAGCCGCAAGTCTGCACCCCTCACGCACACCAGAAGTGCTGTTAGCTTATAAGAGATGCAATACCTTCACAGTCGATTTCATTTTCTCTGTGCATCTCCTCACATCAGTAGGGACCTCAGGGCTGGGATGGGAAGGTGCAGGTCTCCTCTAAACTGGGTCTCCAAGGAAGGCCATATGAGTTGAGACAGGAGTGATGAGGTGAACATTTAGAACCAAACACTGGAAAAGGCATCTTAGCGTGTGCCCACACATACCTGTGCAGTGCCCTTCATGCTGTAGACACCAAAGCATCTTAAAAGTAGGGAACTTGCCCCTCAGACAAAATTCCCTCAGGGGGTTTCAAGATGGTTTTCATAATATTTGAATTTTGTGGTACCAAATGATGTCCAATGGAAGGAAAGAAGAAAAGAGCTACTTCCTATATGTCAGCTAAGTGCCGCATTGCATCACCGTATATTATATTAACATCTTCATTGCCCTCATTATACTATGAGAAAGGTGTTTGTATTTGTTTCCTGTTACTTAGAATATCTGATAGAATATCTGAAACTGGGTAACTTATAAAGTAATAAAACTTACTTCTTACTGTTTTGGAGGCCGGGAAGTCCAAGGTCCAGGGGCACACCTGCCAAGGGCCTCCTTCTTGGTGGGGACCCTCTACAGAGATGCAGGTACCACATAGCGAGGGCTGAGCAAGAGTGTGTTTTGTGCTCTCCTTATAAAGCCACCACTCCACACCCATGATAACCCATTAATCTATTCACCTATTAATGGATTAAGGGATTCAATGCAGGCACGGCCCCCAGGATCCAATCACCTCTAAAAGGCCTCACATTTCAACACTGCCACATTGGGGATCAAGCTTCCACACGCGCTTTGAAGGGGACAAAAATTCACACCATAGCAGTGGTGTTGTCCTAACTCAGTAGATGAGGAAACTGAGGATAAGATAACTTAACAGTCGAAGGTCACGTAGCTTGTAATGGGCAGGTCACGATTTGCACCAGGTCTCGCTAACTTGAGATGCTGCCTTTTCCAGTGAAGGCGAGAAGTCTTATTTTTCCCTCACTTGTTGCTAGGTTCATGGCTGAGACCCCTATAACAAAAAGCAGATTAACAAGAGAAAAGCAGACCAATTTATTTAACATAAGCTTTATATGACACTGGAGCCCTAAAAAATAAAGACCCATAGACCCCAGGAAAACTACATTTTTCTGGATACCTGTGCAGAAGCATGGAGAACAAAGGGTATGATCATTAATGGTAATAAGCTGGGGGGACTAACAAGGCCTGTTCATTTAGATTTTTCTTGGCATCTCTGTTTGTCAGTCCTCCCATCCAGGTATAGGGCAGGACACCTGTCACCTGAGGGTCTTCAGGGGAGAAGGGAGGAAGAAGGTCAGAGAGTGATCTTCCTAGGTTTTCTGGCCTGCTTCAGGGAAAGAGGGCAAGGGGAAGGTGAGACAGGCCTTCCTGCTTGTGCTGTTCTCTCAAATGCCAAGGTGCCATATTTGGGTGTGGTATGACCTGAGATCCATCTCCAGTCACCACATTACTGATAAAGGCAGTTGGCCTGCCAAGGCTGAGAACCTCTTTGTAAATTTGGTTCAGCGATATCTTGTGTAATAGAATTTGCCATACAGACTCACTTAATTCAACAAGTAAATGGAGTAGTAGTCAAAGATCTACCCGCTGGCTTATTTTTCTTTGCTTTTAGCCAAGAGCATTAGAACAAGACTATACCAAGCAAAGTGTGATGAGGTTTATAACGAAGATAGGTAGGAAGTGTTCATGGAAGGAACACAAATGAGGTGAAGATTGATGAATGAACAGGATTTCTCCAAGCAAGGAAGGACACTTTGTGGAGTTATACTAACATTTACAAAGCAAATGTATTTCACAGGGCCTAGCCTCCAAAGCCCTGTAGTTTCAGGTTATAGCCTAACTTTTAAAAATTATACATAGAAATGTTAAGCTTGCGAAAGACAGGAAACTTTCCCCAGGCTAAAGTCTCTGATGTAGATAAAGAATTGTAACACAGCAAAGTTGTGGGCTCAAGGACAGACGTGCTTGGTGCAGGATAACCTAAAGTTGCTTTATTGTTATGTAAAAATACTGAGGAAACTGCTGTAGGAAAAGACAGTTTTTGCTAAGAACAAGCTTTTGTTGGCGGATCCACTTAACCTTTTGCAAATTGCATTATGGAATGTCACTTTGTTATTTCACTGATGTTACCAGCCTCTATTGTTAAACTATACTTAAGCCATAACTCCACCTCTGTTCCTTTTCTGTAACTTTCTGGCCTGGAGAATAAATACTGAGAAAGAACCCCAGCTCAGGGTTATTTTTCCAAGGAGGAAAGCCTCTCTCTTGAGGGTTCCTGGAAAATTAACCCCTTCAGGGCTTCTCACTGCTCAGAAGAAATGGGCTTTGAGTAATCCTTTGCATCTCCATCACCCAGGAGGGGAGAGGTGACAAAGAGAGTGCAACACACTTTAGGGGCGAAAAGTCATATGTTTTCCTCTTTCACTGCAAGGGTCATGGCTGTCACCCCCATAACACAAGATAGATTAACAAGAGAAGAGCATAACAAATTTATTTAACCAAAGTTTTATGTGACATGGGAACCTTCAGAAATGAAGACCCAAAGACCCAGGGAAAATTGTGTATTTTTATGCTTAGGTTCCATGGAGAATGAACTCTTGTGTTTCTAGGATTGAATGAAAGGGGAATGATCTACTGGTAACAAATAGGGGGTGGGGGCAGTGTGAGGGGAAAGCAGTAAGGCATGTCTGTACAGATTCTTCTTACCCTCTGGATATAGGGCAAGACCCTCATTTCAGAGGGTCTTATGACCCACTTATAGGCAACATAAGTCAAAGAATTCCTTTATTTGGCTCTCATACAGAGTGACCTTCTTGCTTCCATGATTTTCTCAACTTCCAAAGTGCCATATTTTGGGATATTGTATTCTGAGCCTTGACAACACATAGACATAATCTATAAAGTTAGTGCATAAATGCCAAGCCAAACAAATAAACAAGCACACAAATACAATTTTAAAAATAAAATCAAAGTGACTTAGATAGTAAAGGTATTTATTTTCTTAAATAATAGCAAATCCAGAGGTAGGGCAACTAATACATTTACTGAAACCAGGTTCTTGCTGTCTTTCCACCTGCCATCCCAGCATGGGCTTGTCTTCTCAGGTCCACGCTTCTTGCAGCCCAGCCACAGCTCCAGGTATCCCTTGCAGATGATGATGTCCAGAGGAAGAAAAGGGATGTCCCTGCCTTGTGTCCCTTAAAATAGCGAGGTGAGACTTCCCAGATGCATTCCCGTCAGAACTCCCTTCTCATCTCTGTCTTGTAGGCCAGTGAAGATTCAGCCTCCAACTGTAGGGAGGGCGCCAGCTTCCCCTAACAGCCAGGGCTGCGTGAAAAGGCCAGGAGGACAGGGAGGATGGTTATGAGGGAGTAAACACCGATGATTGCCACAGACACAAAGGCATGTAACGGATTGGTTTGCTCAGGAAATGATATGCAGTTAGCTGTGAAAATGTCAGCAGAGGCTAATACAAGGTGCCGCAGCCAAGTCATAAAGGAGTTATCTGCCAGTGTTCGGCCGTGTCACGTGGGTCAGTGCTCCTTTAGATTTCAAAGACAGTGAAATATTGTGCAATGTTAAAAGAGTTTTTCAATATTTTTTTAATGTAGTAATCATATAAAATTTCCTTCAAAAACAAATGGTCAAAACAAGAAAAAATACACAACAACATACTTGTACATAGTAAGAATAAAATTACAGTCATGAGTCATTGAATGACACGTTGGGCAATTTCATCATCGTGGGAAGACCATGGCGTGTACTTACACAAACACTAGGCTATGTGGCATACTTATTATAATCTTACGGGGCCATCATCCTGTATGCGGTCCCTCGTTGACCAAAACATCATTATGTGGCGCATGACTGTACGAACTGTAGTCAGGTGTCACAGCAGTGAAGAAATAATAGTGCATCTAATTTTTATTCTGACATTTGTGCTTTTATATGATTATATAAGTAATGCAGATTTTTTAAACTGGAAAATTCAGAGAAGCCCAAAGACTAAAGTAAAAGTAATCCAAAATCCCATCACCTGGTTATAAGTCAAAGCTGGGTCCTCATATACATAGTAGTTTGGTATAGTTAGAGTAATTACTTTTTCTTTTTTGTAAGAATGCTCTTCAAATTCAATTTCTTCTTTCCATAATTTTCTGTCAAATTTTCTGTCACACAAAGGCAAACTATTGCTGGTAGATTTAGAGGGGGAAAAAGCAACAAATATAGCAGGCATGTATGGTGGCTTATAAATTATAGAGTACAACATACAACATTAAGGGAAAAAATAAGTATTATTGCTGTTGTGTACATTTCTGTTTGTTGGCGTTCTGCTTTCTAGAACAGGCTATCTAAACCCAAACTCTGTAATGTAAGCAAACAGCACAGAAGTTTGTCCTGGACAGCAGGGAATTCTCTAGCGTGGTTCTGGCAAGGGAAGGAAGGAGAAAAGCTACAAGAACTGAGGCCAAATTGTACCCTGGTGAGTTGCAGCTTTCTTCTTGAGTGATTACAAGTCAAGGCACCAGGGCCTCGGTACTAAGGAAGACAGTGGGGTGTTCATGTTGTGTCTGTACATTATGCCTCCTAGGAGTGGCCACTACAAGGGGTCAGAACGCACAAAATTCTTTTTCATGGTTAGTTTTTTAAAAGGAAATCTAACTCTCTCCATCTAATAGCAAACCACAGCTAGGCTATTTTAAAATTTGTGTGGACCTGACCAGGCAGGAATCCACTACGGATGTCATTGTTCGTTTTTTTTGTTTGGTTGGTTTGGTTTTCAAGTCCCCTTTTTTCTTAATTTTATGAATTTTCTTTCACAATAATTCTTAGTGGAACTCAGTTTCTTGGGTAAACTTTTTGGTTTCTGTTTGCTGCTGGCTTTTTAAAAATCTGTAGAGAACTACACTCTATAATGATAAGTAAAAAATAATAATAATAAATTTTTTAAAAATCTGTAGACAGGCAAACAATCTCCTGCTGCTATAAAGCTGCTTAACCTTGGGAAAGTCACTTAACCTCTCTGGTTCTTAAAAGGAGAAAGTTCAAATCAGAGGGTGGGAATAATAGACTGGAAAGGATCTTAGAGCTCTTTGAGTTCTGCCCTTCCTTGTACCTATGAAGGATCTGAGATTCAGAGAGGATCAGTGACTGGCGAACAGCTTTCTGTTTTATTATTTTGATTTTTTTTTCCTTTTTTGTCTTTTTTTGTGTCCGGCAACGGATCACAACCCTCAGTGTCGTGCCTGTACCGGACCGGGACCGGCAACGGGATCACAACCCTTGGTGTTGCTCCCACACCTCGCTCAGCCAGTGAGCAGGAACTGGTCTGTATGTGGGATCCGAACCCTCGGCGGAAGCGCCACCGCGCTCCCAAGCGGCGCACTGTAGCAGTGCGCCACCAGGCCGGCCCCTATTATTTTGATTTTTAGGCTGGCTGGTTATCTCAGGTTAGAGTACCACCCTGTAACACCAAGGTCAAGGGTTTGGTTCCCCATACCAGCCAGATACCAAAAAAATAAATAATTTTTTTTGTATTATTTTGATTTTTAAGAAGTGGAATCCAGTGAATTCGAAAGTTAAGTAGGTTGTGTTTGAAAAATAAATGAACAGGAGATATTGAGGTGTAAAAAGAATGAAGACTAGAGCTTTGAGAAATAGAGATAAAATACATTAAAATAACTACCCAAATTGGTTTGTAGGATGCTACTATGAACTGTGTTAAAAGAAAACCTCAAACAAATTAAATTTAACAGCATTTAATTTAGCAAAAAACAATCGGCAAATCGGGGAGCCCCTAGGACCAGTACACATTCAATGATACCTGGGGCTGCCACATGGTTGGATAACGTTTATGCACAGAAAAAGTAAGGTGAGTCCAGAAACAGCTGGATTTGAAGAGGGCTTGAACAATTGGCCACCTGTGGTTGGCTGAAGCATGGCTGCTGTGATTGGCTCAGGCTCAGCTATTGTCAGGAGAGTAGTTAAAGCTGTTTACACATCCCGTTAGTTTACAGTCCACTATGTATGGAGAAACCTTTAGGCCAGATTTAATTCAATTGAACACGTGTAAGATGCGGAGCATTTGATACACTACATTCACCAACACATGTTTACTGACTGCCCACCTGGAGCTTCAAGTCCAGCAGGGAACTGAGAAGATAATTACAATGTAATAAGTACTTTGTCACATACAGAGTGCAGTGTTCTAATGAGAACTAAGAGGGACATTTAGAAGGACATTCTAGACATCTTCCTGGAAGAGGTGACATCTGAGTTGATAAATGAAAGAGGAGGAAGAGGAAAGAATGTCCCTATAGAGGAATTCCATGTGCAAAGCCAGGGAACTTAACGGTTTGAATAACTAAAAGTAAAAGTGGACAGGAGGATGCGGCATTATGAGACCTGAAAGATGAGCAGGAACCAGGTCGTTCAGAATCTCCTAAGCCCTGAACTTTAGCCTGAGGGCAGATTTGTCAACTGGGCAGGGACAGATCTGTTGAGCGTTCTCAACTCTCCCTCTAAGTGCGGACGACAGTTTGGAAGCAGGGCCAACACAGACACAGCGAGGCCAGTTAGAAAAGTAATGCATTTTACCTGTTGCTCAGTTACACAGATCCGGATGCACACACAAACTAAAACAAGACTTACAAAACAATACTTTCTTTTCCTAGGGATGATGCACTCTGATAATTTCTATTTTGTTGTTTTCATTTCCTAAATGGTGAAACTGAATGACTCACCTCAATTGATTTCACAACCCGTTAATAAGTCACAACTCGGAGTGGGAGAAACCTTGAGTTAGGTGTTGCTGTGATACTCTATGGAGATTAAAATAGTAGGTTCTAGGGAAACAGAAAGGTGCGCAGAGGGATGTGGAATGATTCCAGAGGGACTTAGGAGATAGGAAACATTGGCTGGTTAGCTCAGTTAGTTTAGAGCCTGGTGTTATAACACCAAATCAAGGGTTAAGATCCCATTACCAGCCAGCTGCCAAAACAATAAAAAATAAATAAAAATGAAGAGAGACAAGAAGGACCCAAGGAGTTAAAGATATTGTCCAGGGTTTTGGCTTGATAAAAAGGGTCATGTGCTGAGAAAGGGATCTGGAAGATCTATTAGGAGCATAAAGATAACGTGCATTTGAGAAATGCCCCACCCCTTTTTTTGTAAATACAGATGCATTCCTTAATTTGAGGCACATCAAAGAAAAACATTATATAATCCAGAAAATGTGCATGTTTTATTGAAAGAGGGAGCAAAACGGTGGGACTAGAAGGAGGAAACCAGTGGAAGGGTGGGCTCCAGCCCTGAGGCTGAAGATTCGACTTGGAAAGAAGGACGGTCATACTATAAATCCCCAGGGAAACAAACAGCCCATATCAAAGACTCACCTGGTGCTTTGCTGTGGCTGCTGTTAGGCTTTTGTAAGGCTGGGAATAGGTTAAGTACAGCCTTGGCTTTTCACTTAGCAACCATGTTGGCAGTAGTTAGCTTCTTTACACATACAGTTGGCATCAAATTTAGAATTCACAATCACTGGTTCAGGAACATCACTGGCATTTCTTATGCACTTTTTGTAAAAATGGAAATACCATTAACTTAATTCTTCATGCATGCTGACAGCATCGGGTCAAAGGGACTTTTTTCCTGCCTCTTTTCATAACTTCCACTGTCCCAATCTTTCTCCTTCTAAATCTTCTATTTTGCAAAGCCATAGGGAGTGGTGGTAGCCCATTGCTAGTTGAAGATTTTAAACAATAGGTGTTTCTGAGCCGGGTTTATTGAAACGGTCTTGTCTGTGTCCCGGGGGAGATTGTAAATGAGATGTCAACAGGAGCTCTTTTGTGTGGATGGCATTCATCCTGAAAGAGAGGAATTCCCTTACTGTGCTAGTATTTAAAGCAGATTTGTTGCTGCTTTTGCTAAAACTTTTTATCCAACTGCCGGAGCTAACAGCAATGAATGAGTCACTTGGTGTGATTGTAACTTCCTTCCCTCCTTAGCAAAGCAATGACTCAGTCATTTACATTTAGAAAGGAAGGCTCCTAAGAAGATTTCTTGGATTTTCATCAGCTTGAGCCTCTTTTTTGATCATCACGTGGTCCTGATCTGTCAGCAATCCTGTTAACCCGGGGTGAGGGGAGTCTAGCCAGGCTGTTTTTCTCACTCCCTGGAAAACTTCTTGCTGTTTTGATGGCTTTCTTTTTTAAATCCAAGGAGAGAGACAAACACAATTTCCTGCCTTTAGCTTTTTTCCTTTCTCCCTCCCTCCCCCTTTTTTGTAAATGACAGGCAATTTCAGTTCACTGTAATTACCTCGGGCTGAGGTTTGACTAACTCCACCTTTGGAAGATAAGGCAACCGTTTTATTACCACTCAGCCAGGTGCCTGAGGGTGACAAGACATGCCTTTATCTGGAGACCTGACAAGGTCATCAGCAGCTGCAAAGGGTCTGCACCTTGGAGCAGTGGCCATCAAGTGCTTCTCTTCCCTGAGATCCATTTCCCAACCCTTTATTGGTAGCTCATTTCGATCCAAAGACTAGCTCTAATTTCCTCAAGTTTTTCCGCATTCCTGCCTTGTCCTGTTGTGTTCTACTTGGAACAGAAGCAGCAGTAACAGAACAATCATAATTATGAGCATGTCAGCTGCCACCACGAGCCAATTCCATAGCACAAGCCTGAAAGTTCACCCACGGCCCCAAATACACAACAGGAGACATTTTAGTATCCTCTGGCTTAGCAGATTTGCAGGTGCTTTTTCAGACGTGATACTTAATAACATCTTTGACCTATGATGATGAAAATACAAAAAAAAAACAAACCAAATTTTATTGCCTTTACTTACTATGGTTCCTTTTGAAAACTGGAATATAATCCACACCAGGAGGCAGTGTAGTACTTGTTTCAGTAATAAAAATGTCTAGTGCTTGATCTTTTTATATCTGCAGTTCATTTACATAGATGTCTACCCACACGTCAGTTTATTCTTTATTTCAAGCTATTTTGCATGGGTTACCTTGGTTCTCTCTTGTGATATAAAAATGCGTGTTTCTGAAAATGATTTCCGAACTGTGTACTAGGCAGTGCTCTAATGCACGAAGAGTGCCCTTGCAGAGACAAACTCAGGCCAGTGTCCTGAGCTGCATCAAATCAGCATGCAGCCACCCTCCTGTCAGTACAAATTATAGTGGGGCAAGGTAAAGAATGCTGGTTTTATTTATTTTGCTATATGTGAAGTCAGCCTGAGGGTAGGGGATGGGAAAGAAGGGGTGAGGAAGAGAATGGTGGGAAAGATGAGATAAAAACACACATACAGCCATGCAAATGTGAGTGTTTATCTACAAGGACACATCAGACGACCCCGTTCTGTAATTTATATAGACATTATCCCACACTGGAAAGAGGACAGTTAAAAGCCCCTGCTAGTACCCTTATTACCATTATAATAAAAACCAAAACAGGATGTTTCTGAGTACAGTGCACCAAAACACACACACAGTGATAAATAAACCAATGTACACCCAGAACGCCAGCAGAAGAAATGTCAGAAGTACGACGAAATCTGACCCTGGATCCCTCTTCTCCTTGACGATATCCAACCTTGCACACCCACCACCATTCCATCGCCACCCGTACGCCACCCTCCACAGATGGCTTGGTTGGGACAGAGCTGCAGAACCTGAGATGCCTCTGCAGGAGGATGCTCCCACGCAGGAGCTCTCATGGCTCAGCGGCTTCTAACCTGGTCTTGGAACTACCTGCAGTGTGACTGTACGACCTCTCCCTGTAGACGTGTTCAAGTGCTTGATCCAGGGGTGCTGCCCACCCCCGCTGAGGCTGTGTGTAGTAGCTTTCTACAATCCCAGAAGTCCTGAATTCCAAGTACATTTGGCTAGAAGAGTTTCAAAAAAAAAGGCTCATGGACCCACTGTTCTCACAAGGGCTCAGAAAATATCTTAAGGACAGAAGCATAAGGCAACTCTTGCAAAGATATGTGAGGAGGCTTTGCTGGGAAGAACCCAGGTTCCAAACTGCTTCCAACCTGCACAAGCTCTGGAGCCACTTTTCATCTGTGGAATTGAGAGCATAACCTCCTCTGCAGGGTTGATTTAAGAATTTAATGAGACTACGGTACAGCTCCTGTCTTTACTAAACCCTCAGTGAATGAGGACGAGGATGGGGGTTGCGGAGAGTGCATTGATACAGACTCCAGTGCTGGCCGCACCAGCTTCCTAGGTTATTTTTACTTAATTTTGGCAAATGACAAGTACCTATCAGTAAGGTGGTATTTTAAATGCAGTCTTGAAGGGACACTTCAGTCTTGGGGAGAAAGAGCCCTGAGAAGGACCCGTGTCCCGCCCTGTCGGTGATGCAGTCGGATGATTGGAAGCGCTGATCCTGTTACTTAGTACCTATCGGTCAGGGCTGGTGCCCTTTCTGGGTCAAGGGACTGATATAAACGGTATTCCACAGACTAACCCAGATAATTTTTCCTGTTTTTCCTTTGAAAAGGGGGGCTTCCTGGAGGAAAGAGGAGAGGAGGAGGATGAATGATTAAGTGCCTCACTGCATGGCCCGGCTGCCCTCATACCGCTCTCCAGACCCAGGCAATCACTTCTCATCATGCTGAAACGAGCAGGAAGGAATGGTGGATGCCTTCTCTTTCTCCTTCATGTCCCCACACATCCTGTTTACCCAGGTTTGGGGGTTTGAGTTCACCTTATGCAAAAGCCCCCACTGCAGGCCAAGCCCTTGCTCCAGGCCCTCTGATCACAGGGCAGCAGCACCAATGGGTCTTCTCTCCAAAGCCCAGGGAGCTTGCCAGTCAGCAGAGGTTGCTGAGAAATCCACACTGAAGTCGCCCTTAGGACCCAGCCTCACTGGCCTCTCCCCCGCTGTGATGTTTCCTGGTTTGTACCCAAGCCACTACTCACTCTGCCCAGCCATCTCACATTCTGAAGCAAGACCGATCAGAAATTGTGCTGGATACCCTCTTCCCATCTAGAAGCAATCAGCTACTCCACACAGCCTCGGGGTCACCAGACACGGCAGCGTGGCAGGGGAATCTTCGTTGCCTGTTCTGTTGTGTGATTCCATTCCAGATTTTCCTTTTTATTCCGGTCTCCAGGGTCCCATTGTGCAGGTGATACTAATTCTTATGAAATGAGACCAGAAGGTAAAGAAAATTCCTTGGCTCTCAGATATCCGTCTTGCACGCAAGCAGACAGCACAGCATGCGAAGAAGTCAGTGAATAATGAGGAGTGAAAGGCAGGAAGGAGAATGCAGCTGCACAGGAAAAGGCACTTAGCACGTGGGCCCCTCACAAGCCACTGAGCCAGGGCCTGTGGGCAAAGCCAAGCAGAGAGAAAGGAGGACATTAGGTGGATGGTGCGTGGGACAAACTGTTTTCAGATGACATTGGATTGAGATTTGACATACTAGCTCCATGTCAAAAGTTGGCCAACCATAATTGCACTTGGCCGGCCCTTCACCAGTGCCAAACAGAAGTGGGCACTGGTGACAGATTATACTGCAATGTCCAACGTCACAGAGAAGGGCTTTGCTGAGGTATTCATTTTACTTCTGCCCAGGTGACCTCCCTTCCCTGATTGTTAGTCCCTTTTTCTTTTTCTCCAGGAAGTCTCTTCTCGTCCCTGTCCATTCCATCCCGTGGTAACAATTATTTACCACCATACGACTATGTGCCACACATGTTGTAAAGTACTGCAGTGACATCCGTGAACAAGACAGACAATGCCTGACCTTGTGATTGTTATGTCCTTAACTAATTCCTTTCTCTCGGTCTGGTCAGGAAAAAAAAAGGGTACTGCTAAGAAGTGACATCTGACAGGAATGAAAGCTGGTGGATGAAAAGCTTGAAAGAAAAATTTGCCTCCCTGCCCCTGGCACCATCTCCACCCCAGCCTCCCGGGCATGGGGTCTTTCAGCAAGATCCAGTCTGCCCTAACCTGAGGTGTTGGTAGACCAGCTGCCAGACAGGAAACCTTATGTAATTCTGCAACCCTGACCTTGGGCCTTGAATCTTCCCCTCCTGTAAACAGTCCATTCAGTCCAGGAAGATCTGCAGACGTGGCTGGGACACATTTTGAAAAACACACACATTATTACACATGTTGAAAAAAAATTCCCTAGGTCTAAGAGGAAGTGCTATATCTGACTCAGTGGTAGAAAGCACTTCATAAAGTAATGGGACAAATGGAAACTTAATCCTAACAGATGAAACTGCCAGGGCAGTCACTTGTGTAGTGGATGACTCAATAGCACCTGTTGGAAAGCCCGGGAAAATGAGCCGTGAAATCCTGATCACATTCCCTACTGGAAGCAACACCCCTGCCTTGTAAATTAGTGAGCCCACTGTTCTCAACAGCCTGGCTCCAACATGTGCGTCCTAGTTCTGTGACGGCTATGACATGACTCACCTTAGCTACTGGCCAAATGATTCTTACTCAGAGCTCCAGGTTTTTAATCTTCAGTATTAAATAAATGGCCTAGGTAAATGCTAGCCAAATGTCTGTCTACTTTCAAGATATTCCTTTGAAATTATTAATTTCAGGCAACAACTGTTTTACATATGGTAACCTTCAATTTCCAATATTATTTAACGTATTGCCAAGCTTCATTAAAAGTCCACATTAGAAGTTTTAGACCTTAGCCCTTGGACCTAGGTCTTCTAAAATGGCCTTCCCCCAAACATCATTTAATTTCCTCTAATTTAGTTAATTAATGGAGCTTTCTGAAGAGAACAGTTACTTTGATCTGAACCTCGTAGTTTCCAGTTAACATTTCCAGACGGAGACAGAACAGATGCCAGCTTCTCTGGAGTAGCCGGAGCTACCAGCAACTCACAACTGTAATCATTCCTCCCAAACACAGAAAGCCAAAGGCAGTACCTGAGAGGAAAAAGACAGGTTAAAAACACTGCCCTGGGCATTTTTGTGGGTGTTTGCCCCACACAAAGATGAAAGAGTTAAGGAGGGGCTTTGAGGCTTGCTCTCTGGGAAGCTGGGCCTGCAGTCTGGAAATCCTAAGTAATCCTTGCAAATAGGCTAACTGGAAGCCAGCAGTAAGAGTTAGAAGTGCTTCCGGCCTGAGATAAAGGTGTCTGCAAATAAAGTACAAATTCAGGTAAAAGTGGAAAATGCCAGTTCCACCCAGCAGGAACCCTCAGTTCTTCGCTATTAATCCTCACTGCCGTCTGCCCAGCCTTCAGCTGTGCCTCGGAAGTGAACAAAGAGACTGGTGAACATGGCCACAGCAGTTCTTCTTAACATGCCACCTTGAAAAATATTACCCTAGCTGCCACTTTTTTAAAAAAGCAAAAAACAATTCCCAGCTCCAACCCAGAGTTCACCCTGCAGCTAGTATAAAACTTTGGTTAAGGTGATAAGGTAAAAAGTAAGACATTCTGAGTCTTGGCTTCCATTCTTTGTGCTTTTTGGAAGACAGGTCCAGCAAAGACGTCCACCCCTCCCAAAGCGCCACTCGTTTACTTTAAGCTGGGCCGCGGATTTCAGGGGACATGGGTGATGTTGCAAGCTGGGCCACAAGGGGGCACTAGAGAGAAGGATTGTCGGCGGCAATGCTTTGTTTTCCATACTTTGGGTTGGGAGGGAGGGGGTTGGGTGTGGGGGTGGTGGGGGAGATGCAGCTGGCTGGAAAAAAAATCCATTTGTTCCCTGAAATCATGCTCTTTGCCATTTCATAAGTCAAAGGTTGCCACGTTACCTGTTACCAAGTTCCCGAGAGTGCTTGGGGAAAATGTAGGCAAGAAAAGCACAGGAGAGTCCTTCAGCCTGGTGGGTTTCAAGCT